TTAGTACTTAAATATCATTCTACTTGATTATCTCAATATTCTACTTAATTATCTCAATATTCATCTTGATTATCTTGATTTTATCATTCTACTTGTTCTGCTTGATATCATTCCACTTGATTATCTCAATATTCATATTTCAATTATATCATTCTACTTGATTATCTTGATTTTATAGTTCTACTTGTTCCGTTTGATATCATTCTATTTGATTATCTACTATTTTATATACTTGATATCATTCCATTCGATTATCTACTACTTGATAGAATTCTATTTGATTATCGACTACTTGATTCGGATTGAAAAATACAATTTTTTATTGTTTTTATTTTGTTAATAATATAGTCTAATTTTTTACTTTTTAATACTTTTAATTTATATTTCAAACTTTGAATTATAAATTTGGTTTAACGTAAAATATCTTTTAGTACTAAATAATTTGAATCCGAAATATTGACAAATAAAATAATCTTCGGAATAAATTTAATACCTTATAATTTGATCATGATTATCTCAATTATATTATTCTATTTGAATAAATCTTCATAATCTTGAATATATCATTATACTTGATTATCTACTAATTGATTGCACTTAAAAAAATACATTTCTTAATGCTTTTATTTTGTTATTCGAAGTCTACATTTTTAATTTTTACCATATTATATTACTAAATGATTTGAATAAGAATCGTTGACGCATAGAGTAACTTTCAGAATGAATTCGATATAATAATATCATAATTTAACTTAAAAACGTCGAAGCCTCTTTTCTATCTTTCCTTTTCGTTCGTAACTTCTTTGTACACGCAATGCATCAAGGGTGTTGTGATGAATGGAGCTTTCGAATGATGGAAGATAAAGGAGACGCTTAAATTTGATAAACGGTGAAAAATGATTCCTTTATCGATTTCTCACATCCAAATGATTTTTCAGCATCTCCTAATATATCAACAAAATGTTAAAGGTCGTTCCTAATGATATTTAGTTATGGCGGGAAGAGAGGGAATTTTGTTACCGTCATGCATGCTAAACAGCAACCACTGGAAATAGTTCTATTTTTAAAGCTAAGAAAATGCATAATTCATAACTTAGTGAATGAAGAACATGTATAGTTACAAATTCATTCTTATTTGAAGATAATTTTTATTATAACAATGAATAGATGAGTAAAAATATTTTATGAGAGCAACAAACACTAGAAATGTTACTGAGCTTGTGTTTTTTTATGACACTTGGGCAAGCCAAGAAAACGAGTCATCGGTCCTTGTGAATCAAGTCCTTGTGAAGAAGCGCCTCTCGTTTGACAAGAGAGCACCTTAAGGGTGAGCAAGGGCTCTATATACAATGGTTCTTATTAAATTATTAAGTATTATAAGAGGGTAGAAATAAAAATTTCTTTGAATAATGAAATAAAAGCCTTAAAAATGCATTTTTCAATTAGAATCAAGTTGTAGATTATCCTGTAGAATGATATAATCAAGATGCAATCATGTAGATTTATTTCAAGTAGAATAATATGATTAAGATACAATCAAGTAGACTGGTTTAATCAAGATAAATAATATATAATCGTGTCGAATGATAATATATTGAATTAATTTAAAAGTTTATTTTATTTGTCGATGAATCGTGCACAAATTATTTTGGATAGTAGGATATTTAAGTTGAACCGAGTAATTATTTAAACTTTGAAATATAAAATAAAAATATTAAAAACCACCTTTTTCAAGTACAGTGGGAAGAATATATATAATTTTATTTTTGTCAGGTCTAAATATAAATCATAGGAAATCTTACTGTTTTAAAAATAGGAAAAGGTACTGCTCATAGCTTACTAGATGAAGATAAGATTAATTCTAATTAAAAGAAAATTTCATCCATTACGATGAATAGCTAAGTAAATAAATTTTATTATAATTTTTTCTGCCGCAAGTTCACAAACGATAAAACATCTCGATCCCTTATTTTAAAACCAACTAAATTCTATTGAATTTTATCACTGACGTTGAACAGTTGAAAATAATCTTTAATGCAATAATTGTTTGATTCCTTATCCTTTATAGTAGTTTTAAACATATTCCAGAACTTATGGTAACTTCTGATTTAGACACGGAGAGAGATTCGCTTTCGTGAAGGATTTTTTGATGGAACAAACCCACATTCGAGTAAGGCAAGGAGGAAAACCTCCAATATCTTGTATGGTTTATCCAAAATCTTGTTTGGATTTGCGTGTTTATCCTTTTACCACTGGGGTTTGCTGCGAGCATCTAAAATAACCTGTCATCGGTAAGATTTGAACCAGAGCTATCTAATTGGAGAGAAGCGAGCATAATATTCCCTAAGCTTGCGGTATCAAACATAGTTAAACATAAGTAGCCTCTACCTAATTCTAATAACAACCTATACCTAAATAGGTTCTTAAGGTGTAATTAACGTGTACGAGTATCAAACTCCGTGTATCTATGCAGGCTTTATTTGACTCAGAGCTTGTTAGTGACTGTGTTAGATTTATGTTGAACGCTATGCTACATTGCAGTATGTACACTGTACATACAATATGCTACGTTACAGTTGCATCAGGGCAACGTACATGTACACCGTAAAAAATTCTGGTAAAAACTTTTTACCCAAAAATTCAGCTTTTTACCGGAACATGTTACGTAACAAAAAATATTATATACCGCATTTTTTACAATAATAATTACCATAAAATCGCTGAATTACAATAATTGAATTAATACTACAGTAAAAAGATATTAAGGTATAATATTTTTGTGTAAAAATGGATTTTACGGATGATGCAGTCATAGAACGGGTACTTCTGTGGCATAACTAACTACCACTACAAATATTAAATACCAAATCGCTAGTGTATAAGACATGTTAACTCGATTCTATCTAGAGGTGCCTTTTGATAGATGACGGTTGGCATAGTCGTTAACTCCTCTGCCACATTGGTGACCCGGACGGGATAAGAACTTGCCAATATTGATGGATGATCCACATTAAACAGTTGATTTGCTTAAAAATAAACTGCTCAAAAAAATCCTGTGAAGTAAATAAAATCTCTCGGTCATTAAACAAAAATTAAGAATAATAACAACAACAACAAAAAGTGCTCTTATAACAAAAACGAAGTAAAAAATAATGAGCGAAATGCTATGACGTAAAAATATAATGAGCAAAATATGACATAAAAAAAGGCATGAATCAATTAGTGGTATCCGTTCATCGAATTCTATCACAGATAAAATTCTGGAAGGGGAGTAATGTGGCATAACTATCTACCACTACAAATATTAAATACCAAATCGCTAGTATATAAGACATGTTAACTTGATTCTATTAAGAGGTACATTTTGATAGATGAAGGTTGGCATAGTCGTTAACTCTGCCCCCACACTTCATACCGTTATTTGATCCAGAAGTTTTTACAGTGTAACAATTATGCTTTTATAACTTCGCCATCAGTTTCATGACAAAATTTTTTTTTGCTAAAATCTTACTTATATAGACTACAAAATCACTAAAACTATTAATTGATTTTCGCCCCAGACTCAGATTCATTTCCTTCGTCATTAAATAACATGAAACTTTATATCATAAAATGATTCTAGAGCAATAATACGGTGTCTAGATCCATTGTTTCTGATTGCTGTCATCGTATTCAATCATTCATTTAATCACATCGCATTCAAGTTAATTAAGTTCCTCAGATTAAGTTCCACCTATCATTTTTTAATTAAGTTAAGTAAATTCACTTTTAAACAGAATATATTATGTATCGTGTGTCTGAATTATTTACTAAAAACTATAAATGAAATTCATTAAAAATGATCTATTATGAAAAAAATATTTTTGGTCGATTTTCTTAGTTGATTTCTTGGCAGAAAAAAGGAAATTCGAAAATAGTTTTGATTTGTGGGTAGAGAATTACTGTAAATTTATGAAACAAAGAAGGATTACTTTGACATAAATAGACTGGTGCAAGGAAGTGTATTTACTTATTTCAAAAAACTTCTCATTTTAATACAATTAGATACTGCTTTAAAAACAGAATTGATTATTTCTAGTTTAAGAAGTAAGCAAATAATTATCAGTTAAATTATAATAGCGTCAAACGGAGATGGTGTCTTAAAAAAATTATTTTTTAAATTTTAATTTTTCAATAAAAATTTGAATGCTAATTCAAAAATTAATTTTGAAATTTAATACAAAATTTAGATCTTTAATGCAATGTGTTAATGTCGAAACCAAAGCAAATCAAAATCCATTTACTTCTAAACCCTTTCTTCCATGCACTTTGTATTTAAACTTAAAAATTACAGGTTTACAACTAAACTTTCCAATTCTGTAATCCTTGCAATTTCTTCTAATAACTCAACCATGCTAATATTATTGGTAAATATGACAATAAATACAACTATTACTAGGATTTAAGAATTAATATAAAATCGTAACCACAAATCTTCAAAATTCATGAGCGATAACATTTTTGCCTACCTCAAGCAACGATGCTTAAGTATAACTGAATGCTCGATTGTATTTGTAGAGAGTTAAACTTTTCCTTCACAATTTCATAATTTGCACATATTAAATCTTTTATTTATAATTTCAAAACGATTGCAAGTCTATATTTTCCAACTTCCAAATCATTTCCACCTAAACCACCCACCTAAATAACATTTTTGCGTGTCTTAAACAACAATCATCGCTTAAAGATAGCTAGATTATTTCATTAAAGCGTTTTTAACCTTTAAAATTTTCATTCTGAAAATATGACAACCTATTTCAAAGTTTTCTCCTTAAGTTAAATCTTCAAAGCATAGTTTCAAAGAAATGGCAACTCGATATTTACCAACTTCAACACCATTTATACCTAATCCTTGCACTTTCTTCTTGCAACTCAACCATTTCAATGCCATAGGATAAAGTTCAGAAATAAAATAGAATTTTTTAATACAAATAATGTAAAATGATTATAACATGTCTTACCAATGGTTTATGAAATCACGTAGTTATAATTGCGCAAATGACGCTCCAATACAAAGAAGCTGGGACCGGGAATGTTCGCGTTCTTCTTTGGAAAATGGAACATTACCGTTTCGTCTCAGGTGTAGGAATGGGAGATGACTGTAGAAAACATCTCTTTGCCACTTCACCTAGAATTGTTGGGCATGCGCCCAACTTCGATCGAAATTTGGGAGTTAGCGATGGGAGAGAAGAGAACAGGAACTTAAACTTTGTTCCCTTTTTCATAAAAGCACCCCCTTCAGTTGAATTAGTCCGAGATTTGTGGGGAAGGGATATTTCTTAATTGGCGGAATAAGCACCGCGAATCCCGAAGGAAACTTATTATAATTTTTTTCTGTGGGTAATTAAAACTTCCAAGGCGTGTAGTTAGTTTCTGGATGCAGTTAAAGTAAGCGTGAAAATTGCTGAGATGCTTAAGAAAAAAAATTCTATGCTGATTCCAGTTTCGTTCTCGAGAGTTAGGTGGAATATTATAATGTATTAGCGAAATAATTGGAATGGAAACTCGTGGACTTCAGGGAATACTTCAAACAGTTACAGCGATAGAATTCCGCAGATAGTATTTTTACATACGGTACCGCTCATTAGTTTCTATAAAACATATATTTTTTTCTCTTTCTTTTTTACATTTTTCTTCAAGAGCATGCATAATAAGCTACTTCGTTATAATATGTATTGGGTCGAAACCTGGTTCCATTGATTCCTGTATCAAGCACTTGTCTTAAAAAAAAGTTAAAATATCAATTGCCTAAAAACGAAAATTTTAATGCAAAGTTGCGATTATTCAATAGTATTATGTGAGATGCACATGAAATTAGGTGCATCATTTGGACAAAGATATACAGTACCGCTTATTAGTTTCAATACATCTCTGAAATTTTTCTTTTTATCGATTTTAATTTTCATGAAACGCATGCATAATTCGCTAATTCACTGGTAAACTCTGATTTCAAAATTGCATCTATCCATTTTCTACATTGTCACAATTATCATAATTGTCATAAACAAAGGTTTAAAAATCTTTTGCCGCAAAACTGAAATTTAAATGCAAAGTTTTGACCACTCCACTGGATTATACAAAGCATACACGATATAAGGCAATTATTTGGACATAAAAACCAGTGATTAAATTATCTTACAAGGAGCACCAAAATAAATTCATTATAAGATCCAAATCGAATCCCAACATAATTTATTTCAATTATACAAGCCAACATCATTTGTGATGGAAGATGTTACAATTGAAATAATTTTGGAGCCACAATTTTATTTAAAAAAAACCAGGTTGTTTTTTATGAACATTATAATTTTAACAGAAAATCAGAGATTTACGCCTCCAAATGGTTCATCCTATACTATGGATCACCAAATGGTTACAGAATATTTACCGAATATTTGTGGAATATTTCAGTATGGTTACCGAATCAGTATAAATTATCTCACAACCCGAATCCGTAAAATTCATCTCACGATCCGAATCGAATTCCAACATAAACGATTTTAATTTTACAAACTTACATCATCTATGGCAAAAGGTTGCAGTGCAATTAGAATGTGACATTGCATACAAAATTTTGCCCAAACTGGTCAATAATGTGCCCTAGTATGAGGGAAGGTGATTATTTTAAAGGGGTTATTTTGATTAAGAGTAGAATTTATTTGAAATTTTGCTAAACGTGCCTCTTGTTCTGATTAAAAAATTGCATTTACGTGAAAGCGTTTTACGTTGTTGATGTTTCAAAAAATCTAAAAATATGTTTATTTTTAAAAAATTCTGAAATGCATTGAAAATTAATGAAGGGTGTAGGGTAAGTAAAGGGCTTTGCCCTCAGTCAATTTCATTCCTTTAACTCATGATTTCTTGTTAATTATCTTCATTTCACGGTGTGATACGAAACTTTCCATATCAAGTCAAGTTTACCTTGTTTTATTATGAATGACGCAACAAAGTTCAGCTCTTGAATTTTATAAATTTCCGAAAACAAGTTTATTTGTGACAAATTTTTCTTCGATCAGATCCTTTTGAATGAATCAAGAAGGCATGTTAGTTAGTTACATGGATAGAACCAAAAAAAAACCCCCATAAAAACCTCTCAAAAATCTCTAAAAACCAGTGATAGAATCTATCTAACACTGAATATAAGTTTTCTCAACATTGTGGTTTGTGCTGGCAAACTTGTTTTTACTTAAAGCCTTCATATCACTTTATGTTCCCTAATTCCAAGATTATGTAAGCTGTGGCAATTGAATCATTAAAGGTTTTATGCATATTTTAAAAACAGTGCTATTAGAAAAGGAATTTAAAAAAAGTACTTTAAAAGAAAAATTAGTTTCAACTAATCATTATTTAGATAACTTGAACCATCACACTGAGCAAATTTGTTACATTATTAATTAAACTAGATCTTATATTAGGCGTTTAATTTACCATGTATCACTTTATGTTAAATTATAGTATCGTGTACTCAAGTTTAAGAAGAGCTAGAACTGTATTGAACTTGGATTTAGTGAATTTAAAATCAGTAAATTTTGAATTTTTGATTTATAACAGCATTTATAGTTCACGGTACGGAAACTGCTGCATGTTGACAAATTAAAAAAGGAAAACTACATTTTACAATTCAAGCAAAATGATTATCCAAGATAAATGCTCTGTAAAAACCCTATCTGAATTTAGTGGAGTCAAATTTAGTGTCAAAACTCCTAAAAAATTGTGAAAGAATACTTTATTTCAAGTTAATACTAAATCGTGCATTTTTACACATTCTAAAGAGTGTACTTAAATTACCAATAAATTGAAAAATCGTGCACTATGATCAGATGCATTTACTCCATTTAGTAACTATTTTGTAAATTTTGCCGTATGTTTGGTAATCGTCTGATGACTGCATTAGACTTATCAGATGAGAAGGTGAAATACACACTGTTCGAATTTTCTTTTTGAAATTACGCTGAAATTACCGGTCTATCCATCCGATTAACCACGAAATTTATGGTTAGCAACATTTCTTTACCCTTATGGTTGCTAAACCGTTCACAACTTATACAATCAAAAAACCGTGGATATAAAACTATGCGATTTGGAACCATTTACAACTGGCATATTTTCTAAACCATCACAATAAAATTTAAAATGACATCGGAACTTTAATGCTTCACCATTTATATGTGAATGATAGTTTCGTATTCTAATAGTTTCGTATTCTAATAGTCTAGGCCTGGATCACAGATTGAAGAGTGCAAGACACTAGATACTTTTCATGTATTGGAAGAATGGACGAAATATTATGGTATCTAAGCTGGGTCCGCCGATTATTAGATTCATCAATTAGCCATCTCAGCTACAGTATAGTGCGGCTTTCAGGAGAACTCCTCCAGACATCAGTCTCGCATCGTGGTGGGTACTATGGTTACGAGCAAAAGTCACTTCGAATAGGGGTGTGGGGTGAATAGTTTTGTCTTAATCTTGGCATAGGTCAGGGTAAGTAAACCAATCGGCACATTCATTTCTTCATTTCTCCTCATTAGAAATGTGCCCTCGCTTGTTATTATAGCAGCTGACAGAGTCCCAGATTCCTAGTCTGGGGAGTTCTAAAAACCGCACAGTATGCACCCATCTGCATGGAACAGAATGGTTTCATTTGGTAGGTCTAATTTGCGTAGATATAAATCTTCTTGTTAAACTGTGTAAGGTAAAAACAATTAATAGATGTTTTTTTCTAACACTTAACAGCTTGAATATCATTTTTCTTATAGTTATTGGACTGTATTGGTTAAGAATGATAAAATAACAGTTAAATAAATTGCTATTAAACCATTTTAAGGGAGAAATTTCTGACAGTATACTTTTCGTCTCGTATGCTTCTGAACATTCAACAGGAAGAGAAGTTAACTGTTACAAAAAGCATGCATGGCTTCAGCTGTATATTAAAGATAATTATGTTCTCATTAGAAAATATACATAAATTTGCCAAGTGTATTAAATAACTTTGTAATATTTACTTCTATTTGCTTCTGTTTTATTTAGCCTAGCTCGAATTCATCTCTGATATTTTCACTGTGCTGTGTGTATGTTTGATTATAACTAACTTATCTTATTTTAAGTATTGGTGTAAATAAATATGTATCCGAAATTAATGATAATTACTTTTTATTATATCGTAAAAATGACTTTACTGATTCATATCTTAATTTAGTCATTTTTATTATTACTGAAATGGTAAAATGGTGCCAACTACTTTAAACAAAATAATGCAACGGAACTTTGTTTCAAACACTTAGTATTAAGAGATATGTATTGTTTCGTTAAACCATTTTGGTCTAAAGTATTTGTCCCCTTTTGTGGCGTTGACTTACACTAAACATTTTGATAGTGCGCTATTATTTTTCTTTTCTAAGACATTTCTGTCTGTTCGTGCAGAATTGTTTCACTACACCGTTTTGTTGTAAAGTATTTGCCACCATTTGTGGCGTTGACATACACTAATATTTTTGACAGTGTGTTCTTTTTTCTTCTTTTTTTTTCTAAGACATTTTTGCTGTTCGTGCTGAATTTTGATGGCTGAATAAATATAATGTGTGCGAGGTGAAATATTCCATTCCATGTTTTCTTTAATTGTAATAATCCGAATTGAAACTCCAAAGAGAGAAAATGCTAGGTTTAGAAATGGTTTTGAATTTACATTTAGCAGATGTTCTTGAGTTGATACCTAATATCGGTTTTCCATGCTGTTATCCGGCTTTAGAAATTTCGGAGAATATGCAATTTGGACGTTTAAAATAGGTAGTTCGAGGAAATTATAAAACTTTCTCTGAGTGGCTTTGGCATTTGATAAAACGAATTTAATGGAAAATATAATCCCTAAACTGGCATTTTATATTAATGGAAAAAAAAAGTGTTTGTGAGGAAAATTTATAAAATATATAATAAGAAATATATAATATTAAGTACATAACATAAAGTATATGATATTAACTATAAAACAGTCAAAGAACAGATGTCATAACTTAAAATTCTTATTAAACCTCAAAGTAAAAGAGAGAAAAAAATGTCCCTTCTATTTGGGTAGATTTCTTTATGAACGTTTGGCAAACATGGATTTTTCTTTTT